CTACATGCATGACTCAGAAAAGAAAAAAGTCCTTTAAAACAGGACTTAAAACAAGATGCTTACCGCTTACTCAGTTGAATCTTTCAGACATTAATTAAACAGTCTACCTGTACCACACAATAACAGCAAATGATTATTTATTTCATCACAGCAGTTAATATAGAATGAATACTATTGTCCTGGAACAGGTATGGAGAAGGTTCTCTTACTTTCTAACATTGTGCCTTGTGTTCACTGTACATTGAGCAGGAGGTTAACACGTTTGATTCTTATCCTACTATTATTTCAAGTGAGGATCACTCATACACATGTACTTTGAAAATCTTAAATGAATTTTATTTTAAAATATTTTGGATATGTACTACAAAATGTCATATTTTACATTAAGCAATCATTTCTGTGGCTTTTTTTTCATTTAATTTCACTTAAAGTGGCAGAACTGACTAAGTGACCTGTAAATGTCTGAGAAGTTTTTATATCTGAAATAAAATTTTAAAGGATCAAACTAATTGCATGGCTAGTCTCAGCTGAAAAAACATGGTGTCGGTCTAATGGCTGTGTAGGTTCTGATACAGAGTCCATAACTGTGGTATCTAACTATCTACCCAATGTTTTTTGAACATTATAACCAGAAATAACTCTCCTTTAAAACAAAAAATTTCCAAATTGCTTTAAGGTTTGTGTGCAGGTAAAAATGTGTGTATAATGCAATCCTGGGAGGTATAAACAAGGAAACCTTGAGAAGGAGGTAAGAGGTTATTTTACCTCTGTATTTGGTACTGGTGCAACCGCTGCTGGAATACTTTGTCCAGTTCTGGTGTCCACAATTCAAAAAGGATGTTGATAAATTGGAGAGGGTTCAGAGAAGAGCCATGCGAATGATTAAAGGATTAGAAACCACGCCTTATAACAATTGAGTTTGAGTCTATCTATTTAGCATAAAAAAGAGAAGGTTAAGGAGTGACTTGATTACAGCCTATAAGTAGCTACATGGGGAACATATTTAATAATTGGCTCTTCAATCTAGCAGAGAAAGGTATAGCAATACCATAGCTGGACAATGAAACTAGAAAATTCAGACTGGAACTAAGGTGTACATTTTTAACTGTGAGAGTAATTAAACATTGGAACAATTTACCATCTGTACAATCCCATCACTAGCAATTTTTAAATCAAGATTGGATGGTTTGTTTGTTTTTTAAAGATATGCTCTAGGAATTATTTTGGAGAAAGTTCTGTGGCTTGTGTTGTACAGCAGGTCAGACTAGATGATCACCTTCTGTCTTTGGAATCTATAAGCAATGAAACTGTTTACTTATTGTATTATTTCAGTGACTCTCCGAACCTAGGCCTGCTCGTGCAGGCAGTAAGAAAAACAATTTTTTTTTCTTGTAAACTGAGCACATTTGTTGTTGTTCCTCAAGAGTTTCCATAATGCCATTTGTACATGAGGATTTTCCATATGTATAATTTTAAATAAGGTCCAGGTAGAGAATAACTGTTGTGGTTAAGACGCAAAACATTTTTTCTCATGTTTCAGTAACTTCTATTGATATATTCATTCTGAAATAATAATGAAAGTGGTACTGTATGTGCATGTGTGTAGGATACCTCTAGTGGAAGTACTGGAGGTATTATCCAGACCCACAGCCTTGTTATTCTGGGCATTACTGTGACCTCAGGTACCATTTCCATAGTGCTGATCTGCATCATGTTAATAATGGACATTTTAAAACAGCTTTCCTCTTCATTGTTTTCTCTTGGGAGTTAAGATAAACAATAGACCAAGCAGAGCACTCACCTCATTGATCTTACAATGTGTGTCTGTTGATTAGAAAAGAGAATGAATTACAGTAATAGTCAATAAAATGTGCAGGTTCTACTTGAAGGACAATTCAGACAGCTCTCAGTGAAAATCTTAACATAGTATATCTACCCAGTGGATGTATTCCTTCATTCTCTGGTTGTTTTCCTGAAAATCAGAGTAACAGGAACTACACATAAAATATTGTTCATTTAATACTAAATTCTTAATCGTGATTAGAGCAAGGAGTTTATTTGGCTTGGGAGAATGCACTCTAACACTTTGTCCCCCGTAGTTGGGCTGCAGAAGGTGGGGTACTAGTGAAGCACCCACACAGTTGAGGGCCTCCATGTACCTTCTGCATCATTGCAAAGGTCCACACACTGGTGCTGAATGCATTAGTATTCAGGAATGGGCATGGTAAAGGCCACCAGACTGACACTGGAATCCAGTGGCCCAAAACCCCTATACAGGCAGGCGCTGAGCACCTGCTACTTCAAGCCCTAGAAGAGCTAGTTAACCTAACAAACACCTATAAGGCATTCTCTGAATCCATCAATTTCTTGACAAATGCTATTTTGGTTGCTTATAGAAACTTCAGCACAGGCTTACACACCCAATATGTGCCATGTCTTAAATGCATATATTACATTATCAATTCGCAGCTGCTAAAACTCTTCTTCTTTACAAGAAAAATATATCCATTTAGGCCCCCATCCCTCAAACACTTATGTGGGTGCTTAACTTTATTACTGTGAGTAGTTCCATGGATTTCAATAGAAATACTCAACAGCAATAAAGTTAAGCACCTGTGTAAGTGTTTGCCGGATCAGAGCCTCTCCAGTTAATAAGCCCTTCTGTTTTTTCTGGGTAGTATTGTCTGTTGAATGTTCATGATTTTTAGGTATAGCTCAGGGGTTCTCAAACTGTGGGGTCGGAACCCCTCAGGGGGTCACGAGGTTATTACATGGGGGTTGTGAGCTGTCAGCCTCTGCCCCAAACCCCACTTTGCCTCCAGCATTTATAATGGTGTTAAATATGTAAAGAAGTGTTTGTAATTTAAAAGGGGGGTTGCACATAGATGCTTGCTATGTGAATGGGGTCACCAGTACAAAAGTTTGAG